TGTTCAGTCACACAGTCGAGTCCGACTCTTCGCGACCCCATGGACCAGATCACGCCAGGCCTTCCTGTCTTCCGCCGTCCTCTGAAGTTGGCTCAATTTCATGTTCATTGCATCGATGACACTGTCTAACCATCTCATCCTTTGCCGTCCGCGTCTTCTTTGACCATCAGTCTTTCCCAGCATCAGGGTCTTCTCCAGTGAGTGCTCCCTTCTCATTGGGTGGCCAAAGTATTTGAGCTTCAGTTTCATTATCTGGCCTTCCAGGGAACAGTCAGGGTTGATTTCTTTTAGGATTGACTGATTTGATCTTCTTGCAGTCCAAGGGACTCTCAAGAGTCTTCTCCAGCACCATAGTTCAAAAGAATCTATTCTTCGGCGCTCAGCCTTCCTTATAGTCCCACTCTCGCAGCCATACATTACTGGGAATACCATTGCTTTGACCATGCGAACTTTTGTTGGCAGGGTGATGTCTCTACTTTTTATCATGCTGTTTAGGTTCGCCATCACTTTCCTCCCAAAGAGCAGGCGTCTTTTAATTTCATGGCTGCTGTCACAGTCTGCGGTGATCTGGGATCCCAAGAACGTGAAGTCTGTCACTACTTCCACAACTTCCCCTTCTGTTTGCCAAGGAGTGATGGGGCCGGATGCCATGATCTTAGTTTTTTTTATGTTGAGCTTCAATCTCTACTTTTTATCATGCTGTTTAGGTTCGCCATCGCTTTCCTCCCAAGGAGCAGGCGTCTTTTAATTTCATGGCTGCAGTCACAGTCTGCGGTGATCTGGGATCCCAGGAACGTGAAGTCTGTCACTACTTCCACGACTTCCCCTTCTATTTGCCAAGGAGTGATGGGGCCGGATGCCATGATCTTAGTTTTTTTGATGTTGAGCTTCAAGCCCACTTTTGCGCTCTCCTCTTTTACTCTGAGCAAGAGGCTCTTTAGATCCTTTTCACTTTCAGCCATTAGAGTGGTATCATCTGCATATCTGAGGTTGTTGATCTTTTCCCCAGCAATCTTAATTCCCGCTTGTGATTCATCCAGGCCAGCATTTCGCATGATGTACTCTGCATATATATTAAATAAGCAAGGTGACAGTATACATCCTTGTCGTACTCCTTTTCCTATGCTGAACCAATCAGTTGTTCCGTATCCGGTTCTAACTGTCGCTTCTTGGCCCTTATACAGGTTTCTCAAGAGACATGTGAGGTGGTCTGGTACTCCCATCTCTTTAAGGACCTGCCATAGTTTGTTGTGATCCACACAGTCAAAGGCTTTAGCATAGTCAATGAAGCAGAAGTAGATGTTTTTCTGGTACTCTCTTGCTTTCTCCATAATCCAGCGAATGTTGGCAATATGATCTCTCGTTCCTCTACCTCTTCGAAACCCAGCTTGTACTTCTGGTAGTTCTCTATCCACGTACTGTTGAAGCCTAGCTTGTAGGATCTTGAGCATGACCTTGCTAGCGTGTGATATGAGTGCAATTGTGCGATAGTTTGAACATTCCTTGGCGTTGCCCTTCTTTGGGATTGGAATGTATACTGATCTTTTCCAATCCTGTGGCCACTGTTGCGTTTTCCAAATTTGCTGGCAAATTGAGTGCAGCACTTTAACAGCATCATCTTCTAAGACTTTGAATAGCTCAGCTGGAATACCATCACCTCCACTAGCTTTGTTGTTAGTAATGTTTTCTAAGGCCCATTTTTCACATTCCAGGATGTCTGGCTCGAGGTCAGTGATTATACCGTCATGGTTGTCAAGGACATCGAGGTCTTTCTTGTATAGTTCTTCTGTGTATTCTTGCCATCTTTTCCTAATCTCTTCTGCTTCTGTTAGGTCCCTACCATTTTTGTCCTTTATCATGGCCAGCTTTGCATGGAACGCTCCTTTGATTTCTCCAATCTTCTTGAAGAGATCTCTAGTCCTTCCCATTCTATTGTTTTCCTCTATTACTTTGCATCTTTCATTCAAGAAGGCCTCCTTATCTCTCCTTGCTGTTCTCTGGAAATCTGCATTCAGTTGGGTAAATCTTTCCTTTTCGCCTTTGCCTTTCGCTTTCCTTCTTTCCTCTGCTATTTGTAAAGCCTCATCAGGCAGCCACTTTGCTTTCTTGCATTTCTTTTTCTTTGGGATGGTGGAGATTGCTGCCTCCTGTACAATGTCACGAACCTCCATCCATAGTTCTTCAGGCACTCTGTCTATCAAATCTAGACCCTTGAATCTATGCTTCACCTCTACTGTATATTCATCAGGGATGAATATCAGGGATGAATATGCATCTGTAGCCATCCAGAAATCTCACAGTACTGTGAAGACACTGATGAGTTAGATCACTGAGCCTAGATTCCATGGAATGTTATTGTTCCTACTTACATGCTGAGAAACACCAAGATGAGAGACTCAAATAGGTCATATCTGAGACGTCACTGGGACAACAACACAAATGCAAACCAAGGCCTGGGTCACTGCCCCATGAATTTCTCCAAGGCATTGTGGAGAGTGGAGAGTGGAGAGCACGGATGATTCATCATGTCCTGAGATAAGATGTCAACTTGAACCCAGCCCCTTGGGTGGCCACGTTCAGGCTAAATGATAGTGATAAAAGATGAATCAGGGATTATTTTCAACTGAACAAATATATCAGGGCAGTTAAGGCTGCATCTCAGGGATTCTTTGGGGACAGGGGAGGAACCCTAAACTAGGCCCAGGTTTTTTGGACATTCAGTCCCTTCTCTACAGCCAGTATTCCAGGGAGTCAACTGCCAAGTTTCCCATTCAGTATTGGAAGCTTGCCTAGTTTTGGTGACAGGGCGTTTACGTGTTTGGAATAGCTACACTCTGACAGGTGGTCATGAACTGCAAACAGCCTTTCCTAATCTCTGAATTACAATCCAGGCCTCCAAACACTGAGGTGAAAAACAAGCAGCGGCAACGTAACCCAGATAAACCTGACTTCCACATTAAGAGGAACACGCTTGGTTCGAGGGATGCCGCTTTTCCTTCCCCCAACACAGGCTCGGTTCCTTTAACAGTTGTGACTAGTCAGTAATTCAACAGATTTCACTTTCAACACCACAATATTACCACTTCGGAGGAAGCTGCACATGCTGAATGCCTCTCTACAAAACGAATTACAAAGCTCACTGCTGGGGAAACTTAGGTGACACCCTTCTTCAACAGATTTATGGTCTTTAATTCCTCCCAGTTTTCTAGAAGTCTCCAGTCACAATTATTCTGCTTCTAATTACTAGGCTGTGCTATGTCCCATCTGAAAGTTACTAGCTTTGGAAGGAGAAAAACACTGATGACTAAAGGCCTAGAAAGTACAGATTCAAATCCCTGCCCTGCACAGTCACCAGATTCACTGGGCTATCAGAAGTAATGGTTATGCACACTTACCTGAGAGTAAGAGTCCTATTGGATTTATTTCCGAGTACATCTAATCTCTAATATGTTTACTAAGAACTAGACCCTTATGAGCTCAAGGGGATCTACATCCTGAAAAACAGAGTTCAGATCACAACCAGTGTCCCCTCTAAGCTGAGTTAGTGTGGGCTAGCTCACAGCTTTTGAGCTTCCGGCTCACACATTTTTGTCTTAGCTCAGGAAGGAGGGCTCCAGAGCAAACTAACTGATGCAGCAGCCAAATCGCTCGCCCACAACTTTCATGCCAGTAGCTCACAAAGTAGAATTTTTGCTCACAAGACTCCACAGCTTAGAGGGAGCATTGAATACAACGCTATACTATAATCACTCCTGAGCAGAAGGCATGTGGAAGTAATGAAGAGACCATATTAACAGCATAAGCAGAACCTTTGTCTGTTCAACAGGTTGTGCTACCCGTATGTTTATGGTGTGGAGGGAAGAATCTACCTAAAGAGGACCCCAGCTTGGGAGTGGTAAATACTGCTCTGTTCCCTCAAGACAAGCTAGTTATTCCTTCAAAACAAAGAGAAATAAGTGTCTCGATCGTCCACAGAACGAACAAACTAAAGCACACACCCCCTCTAGGGAGTGGCAGTCCAAACTAGGTTGGTATGACTAGCATAATGCAGGTACAAGAGAACTTGACTGTATAAGACAGAGGAGAAGAGCACAAAGCCACAGTCAACTTTATTTGGTAATAAATAGCTGGAGAAGCTTGGAGCAGTTATGGGGTGGGACTTGACTGAACTTGCTTCTATGCTTCATAGTCCTTTCCCCCACTACTCACTCCTCCCCTCCGCATGTAGGGGTGCGCGCGCACACACACACCCCCATAAGAGTCACTTCATCCATCCGGTGGGCTCTAGGCCACAATAGTTCATTTTAGAATACATGTCTGTCTTTAAGGGACTACTAGACTTCTTTTTGCTTTTGCCTTAAATCTTGATTAACTTTTGAATGTCTTTGGGGCCCAGGATAGATCTTTAAACGGCCAAGTCACCTTCCCAGAGAGGAGAACACAGGAAACAACCCCATAATTACCAACCGAACTGTTGATGACAGCCTCACCTTTTGTATAGAACACAATTCTGTAGCTGGGCTGAATTCATTGCACTGACTAAGCCAGCCACCCCCACACCACAGTGTATCCCTGGAAGCAGCCTTCAAAGGAGTGCAGCTATGCAAACTCCTCCATGGCACCTTTTCTTCTCTGTGCCAGTTTCACAGGCCAGTTGATCGGTGTCACGAAAATGTCCTGGATAGCTAGCCATGCCTATTATACGTGTCAGGACAATTCAGGCACAGAAAGGAAAGAAGGAGGAGAGCTCGACAATGCCAGCGGGTGTAGCGTGGCCGCTCTGAGCTGGGGCTGGTGATGCCGACTTATCTGACAGAGCCCTTTGAGACCCACTCTATAAACACCAGGTGTTAACACTGCAAGCACAACCAATCTTTGCCAACCGCTGCCCCGCACCCTTGTATTTGGACATGCACAAACGGATGCCCCCTTCGCAGCCTTTGCTTTGGGAGGAGGCCCCACCGCCAGCCCCCCTTCCCCCCCTCCACCCCAGGGCCTACCTTTCAGCTCATAGTCAAGCCCGGCTCCATTAGTCCTGGGGGCCGAGTGGCTCTTCTGCATCATCCTCACGCGGACTTGCTCCTGCACCCGGGCGTTCTTCAGCACCTCCGTGTCCTGCGCCTCTTTGCCTTTCCTGTCCAGCTGCTGGTCGGAGGGCAACGCCAAGGAGCACACGCCATCCTCCGGCTGCAGAGCCGACAAGAAGAAATTATTTTCCTGCATGGCAACTGGGCAAGGGGGACATGCAGCGGCCGGGCTCCTCCTCTGGCTGACCCTGCCAGGCACTGGGGCCTTGTGTGGACAAGGGGGTCGGTTCCTCAGCGACTCCTCACAGCCCTTCCCGGCACACTCCTCTGAGGCCAGGTAACCCGAGTGGCCTGTTGACACTCCAGAAAGTTGGCTCCTGACTCACAGGTGAGTGCAGGCATCAGTGGGCCCTCCCCCTGCTAAGTCAAGGGAGTTGCTCCACTCAGGTCACACACACACACACACAGGCCTCCTCCCCAACCCAGGCCAATCTGGTCCTTCTCCAAGCAGTTCCTTTCCCGGGACAGGACTCCCTCCTCTGTGCTGTAGAACAACACACACATGGTCACACCCCTCTCCCTAGCAACTGACATCAGCAGGAGGGCAGGCTTTAAGGCAGGGCAGGTCAGCCAGCTCCACCTTAAGCAGGTGAGGGACTTGGCAAGCAGGGGGCTTTAAGGTGGAATCCCAGAGATGCAAAGATGTGAGAACTCGCCCCGCCCCAGCCCGGCCCAGCAGCTGTATAAACGAGCCAGAGCGGTTGCGGGCGCGGCGCCTCCAGGGCTGGGGTTGGGCGTTGTGGGGCGCGGCGCCTTCTCCCTCGCCCCCGGTGCGCAAGAAAGGCTTGACGCTGCAAAAGGATCCTGTCCGGCCAGTTGAGCTTCTGAGATCCTGGCCAGCTTTGCAGAGCTTCCTTTCAAGCGGATACGGGAATGCGCCAAAAAGAAGGGAAGGAAGCAGAGGCGAGCAGCCCATGCCACTCGCCCATGAACTTGAGTCGCCCTCCCTCCTCGGCGGACCCGCTTTTGCTCCCTCCCGGCTTGTGAAAAATAGTGAGCGCCGCAACGTATTCCCAATCGCCGCCCTGCTGTGAGGCGCTCGAGGGAAGCCAGGCCAAAGTCCAGGATCGCTCGGCTAGACACAGAACCCTTTTGCGGCTCCTTTTGCAACATGCAACGCGCAAAAGTCACACTAGCGCGGGACTTCAGAGGGTAGGAGTGATGGCGACCTGTAGTGGTGGCTCAAGTGGTTAAGACCCTGAACTGCTGCAGACCCTGGAAAGTCAGTAGTTTAGCAGTTCGAGACCCGAGTGCAATGTTCCCTCTAAGCAATGGAGGCCTGTGAGCAAAAATTCTACTTTGTGAGCTATGGGCATTAAAGTTGCGAGCAGGAGATTTGGCTGCTGCATAAATTAGTTTGTTCTGGAGCCCTCCTTCCTGAGCTAGGACAAAAATGTGTGAGCTGGAGGCTAAAAAACTGTGAGCTAGCTCACACTAACTCAGCTTAGAGGGAACACTGCCTGAGTGCCGCATGAAGAAGAGGAGATTGGACTTATACCCCATGGCCCTTCACTACCAAAGGGAGTCTCAGAACGGCTTGCAAACTCCTTTCCCTTCTCCTCCCCACAACAGACACCCTGTGAAGCAGATGGGGCTGAGAGAGCTCTCTTGAGAACTGCCCATGAGAGAAGAAGAGATTGGATTTATACCCTCTGGCCCGTCACTACCCAAAGGGGTCTCAGAGCGGCTTGCAAACTCCTTTCCCTTCTCCTCCCCACCACAGACACCCTGTGAGGTAGGTGGGGCTGAGAGAGCTCTGACAGAAACTGCTCTTTTTCAAGGACAGCTCTTGTCAGAACTACGGCTTGCCCAAGGTCACCCAGCCAGGTGCAAGCAGAGGAGGAGAAGAAGAGGAGATTGGATTTCTACCCCGCCCTTCACTACCCAAGGGAGTCTCAGAAGAAGAAGAAGAGATTGGACTTATACCCCGCCCTTCACTAGCCAAAGGAGTCTCAGCGCGGCTTGCAAACTCCATTCCCTTCTCCTCCCCACAACAGACACCCTGTGAGGCAGGTGGGGCTGAGAGAGCTCTCTTGAGAACTGCCCATGAGAGAAGAAGAGATTGGATTTATACCCTCTGGCCCTTCACTTCCCAAGGGAGTCTCAGAGCGGCTTACAAATTCCTTTCCCTTCCCTTCCCCACAACACACACCCTGTGAGGTAGGTGGGGCTGAGAGAGCTCTGACAGAAACTGCTCTTTTTCAAGGACAGCTCTTGTCAGAACTACGGCTTGCCCAAGGTCATCCAGCAGGTGCATGTGGAGGAGTGGGGGAATCAGATCCGGTTCTCCCAGATTAGAGTCCGCACACTTAAATAACCACTACACCAAACTGGCTCCCGTCCCTGGCCCCAGCTCCTGCCAACCTAGCAGTTCCAAAGCAAGAAATTGCACGTTGACAAATAGGTGGGAAAGGTAAGTTCTGTGCGCCTTGACTTTTAGTCATGCCAGCCATATGACCACGGAAACGTCTTCGGACAGCGCTGGCTCTTCGGCTTGGAAACGGAGATGAGCGCCACATCCCTAGAGTCCGATTCGACTGGCTTTCGAGGAAGGGAAACCCTTTACCTTTACTATCTTTCTGTCAGCGGCCATTTCCTTCTACAGAAGCATCCTGTGGGTTTCTCTACAAATGCAGTCTGACTGGACTGTAGTCATGCCGGCCATATGACCACGGAAACGTCTTCGGACAGCGCTGGCTCTTCGGCTTGGAAACGGAGATGAGCGCCACATCCCTAGAGTCCGATTCGACTGGCTTTCGAGGAAGGGAAACCCTTTACCTTTACTATCTTTCTGTCAGCGGCCATTTCCTTCTACAGAAGCATCCTGTGGGTTTGTCTACAAATGCAGTCTGACTGGACTGTAAGGAAACTTTGTAGGGATTCTGAGGTACTGTTTCAGGTCATAACACCACTTTCTCACACCAGGGGAAACCCGGGGGAGGGGGGGGCTGTATACGCCAAGACCAAAAAGGGGAAGACCCATCCTGTTGCACCTCTGGAGGGGGTACAATAAAACTGCTTGCTGTGAGTCAAAAGCACTTGGGGAGAATAGAGTTGCCAACCTCCAGAGGTGCAACCTCCTATTACAATTGAGCTCCAGGCAATAGACATCAGTTCCCCTGGAGAAAATGGCTACTTTGGAGGGTGGACTCTATGGCACTGAACCCTCCCCTCCCCAAGCTCCACCCCCCAAATCTCCAGGAAGTCCCCCCCCCCCAGTGCTGGCAACCCTAGGGGAGAATCGGATGCAGGGACAAAGAACTTCACGTCTCTTCAGGAATAGCTGCCCTCCGATCAAGTGCATTCTGGGCAGAATCTTTAAAAATGTACATCGGCTGCTGTCCTCACCCCATGTGGCCATGATATTTGCCAGGTACCAGTAGGTCCTATCAGGGGTCATTTCATAGAAAAAGAGGTGCAGGAGCTCATTAGCATGACTCATTTGCATAACTCATTTGCATATGCCACACCCCCTGACATCACCCACCGCTCAGGCTCCACTGGGCTGTTTTGGATTGCTAGCTATTGGGGGGGGGGGACGCATGCAGATCTGTCCTCGCAGAGGAGGGAGAGCTTGTACCTGAATAAAACTTGGTCTTAAAGGTGCCACTGGACTGTTTTGGACCAGGGGGCGGGGGGTGGGACCTCTGCAACTTTCCTGGCTGCTTCCTGCTCTGACTGAGGGCTGCTGGGAGCAGGGGGTGGGCTCCTGTGCGCTCCTGCAGGAAATGACCCCTGGGTCCTCTACATTCACACACTCATAAACTTCCTGTGATAGCATCATGAACTAGTGGTCCTGTTCACTTTACAAGTGAACACACGTATATTCTGCATGTATATTTGTACATCTATCCAGTAATGGCCCCAGGTTTTTTCACCCACTAGGCGAGGATAGGCCCCCCCCCCCCCCCCCGTGCAGGACGGGATGGGGGTGGGTGCGGGAGCCACAGTGGGCGGGCTGAGGGGCAAGTTGCAAATGCATTCGGAGGGGCGGGATCGCTCGAGGGGAGGGGGCCTGTCGAATCCGACTCGGGATGCGGTGCTCATCTCCGTTTCCAAACCAAAGGGCCAGCGCTGTCCGAAGACATTTCTGTCGTCATGTGGCCAGCATGAGTAGACAGCGAAGCACACGGAACGCTGTTACCTTCCCACTGAAGTGGTACCTATTTATCTACTTGCCATTACTTGTTTTCAAACTGCTAGGTTGGCAGGAGCAGTTTTTCAGGTGGGGGACTATTGTTTCAGCCTTTAAAATGTATGAAGTAGCTGCCACAGTCACTTTTGATTACCGGGTGCAGTGGGACTTTGGACATGACAGCAACCCAAGCCATTAATAGAATGACACCATCCCCTCTCTTGCAGAGTACTAAACTATCTTATTAATCTCTAGGGGGAAAGTATATTCTTGTAAATATTCCTGCCCGAGGTTTTCAAGGGACAATAATTAAGACACACAACTCTCCATAAAGATGGTTTTTCCTTGGATGGCCTTCTCGAGCCAACTTAATAATTAACTAGTGTTTCTGGAGCACTGTCCAGATGAAAGACTTTGTGGACATGGGCAATGTTAATCATGGTAATAGCCAGGCCTAGCCCAGGGTGGCTTTCAAATTCTGTACAGCACAGCACAGACGATGCTGAGTATCCAGCTATTAAACATTATGTGACTAAAGGATGAATAATCCCCCTAGAAGAAAAAAGTTCTCCCAAATTAAGAAAGCCCCATTAAGAAAGAGTGTCCCTCTGTTAACTGGTGAGAAACTGAGACGTATAAAGTTGCTCATCCAACACAGAGCAAAGTTTAGTTCCCAGGCCTGTACTTCAATTTAACTGTTCACCCGCCTTTGTGTCCGCATAGAAAGTTCATTGCAGTTGGTATCCCCATTCATTTGAAACAATAATAATTCCCCAAAGATATGATAGGAGTCATAGAATCATAGAATGTTAGAGTTGGAAGGGACCTTGCAGGTCATCTAGTCCGACCCTCTGCATTCTGCAGGAGCATAGTTGAAAGATAGCCCTACAACATACCCGAAAGATAGTCATCCAGCCTCTGCTTGAAAACGTCCAGCGAAGGAGCATCCAGTCCACCACCTCCCG